AATTAAAGCAGAAGAAGCTGTAGATAAGTGTTTCAAAAATGTGTCTTAAATAGTAGGGAGCAATCTGGGCAGCTGAGGTGGGCAGATTGCTCGAGCCCAGCAGTTGGAGACCAGCCTGGGCAACAAGGTGAAACCCTGTCTCTGTTAAAAATACAAAAATTAGCCAGATATGGCAGCGTGAACCTGGAACCCCAGCTACCCGGGAGGCTGAGGAAAGAGAATTGCTGGAACCCAGGAAGCAGGGGTTTCAGTGAGCTGAGAGCTGGAGATAGTGCCACTGCACTCCAGCCTGGGCGACAGAGAGACCCTGTTTCAAAAAAATATATATAGTAGCGGGTAGAAAACACTAAAATGGGTGTTGGGAATTGTTAAATGTTTCCAATTCTCAACATCTTCAAGAAGAGACAAAATTTTGCTGAAAGGGTGATTTAATCGTTCACTTTTCCTGAATATAAAAACCGAACCAATGTTTTTTCAAACCTTTTCAAGCTACAAGAACCTGATTTTGTGGAGCACTGGTGTTAGGGACAAACCCAGATGTTCTTCACCTTTTTTTTTTTAATCCACTACACAAGCATTTTTGAATGGCCACTGGGTGCTCTTCTAGTGTTTCTTATGCAGCTACTGAGGCAGTCCCAGGACCTGCCTGCTAGCCTCGCTCAGAGGTCTCTTACCATCTTCTTAAACCAACCAGAACAATTTTCCTTATGTAATCGTTAAGGGGACATCAAAAGTCATATCTTAATTTTTCCTAAAAAAATTTAAGTATACTTAATATATTATTTGACTTTGAAAAAAATAGATTTTTATGGGGAATAGGTAGACGTAATCAGAGATTTATATAATGTTAAAAAGACAATTGTTTCTTCACTTTTTGTCTCACCATTGACATCATGATAATTATTATTCTCCACGCACAACAGCTTTATGTAAAAATATGCTAACAGTTACTTTTCCAATTATTTCTCAATGTGAAGAGCATATAGATCTCTTCCTAGACTGTGAGACATATGACATCATGTCTAATGGAAATCACTACAGGCATGCTTCAGGACGGCTATCTGCATGAGGCACTCAGGAGCGTAAAATATAAGTCACTATTCCAAGAGGAGACTGGGGCCAGTTCTGTATGTGTTGCATTATGCCACAAATCAAGAGTTTCGGAAGTGCCGGAGCACAAAATTAACATGTGCACACCAGGACTGCCTGGCTTCACCCTTGACCCCACTGAGTTTGACACGCTTCACCTGAAAATAGGAATAATAATTCCCTACCAGCCTGGAAGCAAGAACAGCAATTTGGGGGGATCTCTCCAAATGTTATGATTTATCAAGTCAGTGTAGTAGTTTCCCTAGGGGATTGTAAGTTTGGAGTAGCTTCAGTTTATTTTGACACAAAGAAAGCAGTTGGGCCAAGAAACAAAAAATAAGCCCATGGGAAAAATAAAAAGTAGAAGGAAATAAAGTCATAAAATGAGACTCACAGGCCCCCATCTTCACACAATGTCCACTCTGTAATTGCAGCATATTTAGAAAGATCTTGTGTTAGGTTTGGAGGGAATGAGACATTTTCTTTGTTGTTACATACACATGGGCATGATGGTAGGTGTGACTGTTGTTCCTAATTTATCCATGCAGGGAGCAGATCTTCACGCCTTAGAAGATCAGTTACAGTCTCTTCATTTTCATTCAGCAGATAAAGACAATAGTACACTCATGCTAGTTATTTTTCTACCCAGGGCCTATGGCTTTGGGCATCTGACCAGGAATGCATACTCAGATCTCTCCACTGGATCTTGGATTTTTCTTGCCTCACCCTCATATTGATGGACACATTAGTGGGGAATAACAAAGCAGAAGGGGTGGTACTATGGACCGTTCCAAAGATGAGAATGCCACACGCTTGCAGTTTACATTTCAGAAGCTGCATGTTATGAAGAGTCTCCTGCTCTGTTAAAGAAATGTGACTGGTGAAATGGCATGGTTGCAAATGTCCCTAACCATCAGGGTGATATAACAGCCTGAAGTTAAAATATTGATTCTGGAAATCCAGCATGCATTGACTCATGTATCAGCACTTCAACCTGTCACATTCCAATGACAGGGGCAGTGCTGAGAGGAACATCCTATTCTAAAAACGCAGCCTGTTTCTGGTACTCAGGAAACACTTATGAGCACGGCAGCTGTGCCAGTGATTACAATGCTGAAGGATGCTCCATGTTGATTGAAAGATCCTTCAGTGGCCAAAGATATCTAGACAGACATATCCAAATTAATATTTAAGTAATGCGACACTCAATCTATTCCAGTAAAGAAGCACATGCCAACGATATCTTTTCCTGCCTAGCAAATATAAATATCCAGGGCCTCTCAATTTCTGAATAATAGAGAATGCAATTGTTCATTTTGGTGACTATAACTAAGCAGACCTCATTTATTTATCTATATATTTGTTGAACAATCAAATTGTGCAAGATGGAAATGTTGAGACTTCAGCTTTGTTGGCTACCTGACATTTCTAAATGGGTGTATCACTGAACTCTAAATAGGAAAATTCAAACTGAAAGACCATTAAAGTGACCTCCAACAGCATTTTTTTCTTCTTCAAGTACATTAAGACAAATTCAATAAAGCAGAGTAACATCTGAGATGGGATTTATTGGAGAGAAACATAGCAGAAGCAGGTGCTCTTGCCACAGCTGACCTTGGCTCCAGCTCCAGCAAGATATCTCCTCCAGACCCATCAACATGCTCTTACAGCTCATTGCATTTGTGATCAATGTAACCAAAACGTCTGCAGATAGAAATCTGCCATGAAATACAGTTGTCGCCTTTCCCTTTTGACTTGCACAAACTTTATCACATATCCAGTCCATATGATAATTTCATAGCTACATAAAATTTGCATGAAAGGGTAAAAAAATTATTTCCATCTTTATATATACCTTTCAGCCAGAAAGACTGATAAATACTGCCTGA